GAGACGGGGAGTCCAAGACAAATGGTCCTCGATCCTTGGCCTTTGGAAACTGATCAGATGAGACAATGCCTGAGATGTGAACACAAATAACTATGAGCTACCGATATAGCCAACACCTATATCGGTACAGATAATACGTAACATAAAATTATACAGAAAGAGCAATTTTTGATGACAGACATTAAAATAAACCAAAATCATTTTACTGGGTACAAAACACTTGCTCTGGGCCTTAATAAAAATGATTACAATTTGGATAGATGACAAAGTGGAAGTTACATAGAAAGAAAATAGCCTGAGTCAGAACTAGGATGGCAAAAGTTAGATTCAGGGACCAGCAAGCAAATCAGTTTAGCCCAAGTGGGAAATGCAGCAGCAGAGGTCTGCCCCCGCAGGCCCACTGTGGAAGACAGAGGAACCCTCAATGCTGGCTCCCTGTTATCTACCAAAGAATGTTCCAGTCTTTAATCTGTTCTCTGAGAATTGCATGGCCACCCATTTCATTCCATTTATGAATGGGCTGCAAAGAATTTGGTTACAAAACTGCAGTTTTTCTCTTACCATGCTGAGCTAGTTTGATTGTTTGTTTCGTACCAGGGATTGAACCTAGGGCACCTAACCACTGAGCCACATCCCCAGGGATCCCCCACCCCAGACCTTTTTTTTAAAGATGTTGAGACAGGGTCTCACTAAGTTGCTGAGGCTGACTTTGAACTTGTGATCCTCCTGCCTCAACCTCCTGACCCGGGGATTACAGGCATGCATCACCACTCCTGGCTTGAGCTAGTCTAATTTAATATATTTTAACTATTGAGGGAAGTAACTTCAGTTATATTTGGTTTCTAAATTCCAGGAACTGCATGGTCCAGCAGGGAAGACAGGCTAAGGGCTGAGGAAGGTACCTGAAGGTTTGGTGCAGGTGCTCAAATGGTCCATGTAGGCTGTTGATGTTGCCGGCAATGTTGCACCTTTTACCCAGCAGTGGGCAGAGGCCCAGTGGCCAGGCTCTGAGGTGTGGGAGCCTCGCTGTGTCACGCATGTTCTATCTCTCATGCTCGCCAGTGGTCCTGACCTCTCAGTGATGGAAGGGCCAAGAAGAAGGGAGTCACGAGAACAGAACAACTAGTGTAAAAATCAAAGTGCTGGAACCAAGGGGAGTATTTTCTGGTTGCCACAAGTTACATTTTTTATATAAATATATTGGCATAAAGAATGATTCCTGGGTACATTCCATTTGTCCTTTATTTCCTCCCTTTTATGATTGTATTATTATTGATGTCATTAAAAGTGCATTCATCAGGCCTGGCTGTCAGAGAGTTGCACTTATTTTGTGCCCACAAGCAGTTTTGAGGTGAATCTCTTGCTTTAGGGCATTAGTTGATCAATACAGGCATCTATGGTGAGGGATTGTTTTCCCACCTCCCTCTGCACAACTTGATGCTCCTAGGCCATTCTGGTCTTCCTGTGAAGAAGTCGCTCTGCAGCAGGTGGAGACAAGAAGTGGGTGCTGTCCATGCTGATGCTCGTACCTTCAGATACGTCATTCTGTCAATTTCATCTCCTTGCAGAACAGGTCTTCCAGGGCCTTCTTACCAGCTTCAAATTGAACTTCAAATTGTCCTCTGCACTTACTGTTCCTGTTATTGAAGAAACAAACTTGAACTGTATTTTCTTTCTAAATTTGAAATTTGGAGTGGTGCTTGTTCCAGGAACCCTATGGGAGAGCAGGACAGACTGGAGTTTTGGGGTCTGAGGCAGGTACCTGGAGTTTTGACACAGATGCTCAGGTGTAAGGCTTTGGGGTACATGTAAATTGTTGATGTGGCTGGGGGATGCTACATTTTATCCAGCTGTGGGCGGAGGCCCAGTGGGCCAGGCTCTGAGGACTGTGAGCCTTCACTGTGTTTCATGTGTAGAGATCCTGGGCTCTCACCTCACCATCCTGAAGATTTCATTTTTCTCTTTTTGTGTCAGACCCTCTGGACTTTGAATCCCAGATAGCCTTTTTCTTTGCTTTTGTAGGTTATGCTACTTCCAAAACCCTTCAGTTTTGTTTTGGGTGTTTCAGGAGCAAGTAGAGGTGACTGTGCTCACTGTCCCTCAAGTTTAAGTGCAATCTTAAAATTCATCACCAATGAAGTGTTTCCATTCCAACCTTTATAGCACAGAAGGCCTTCTGTTGGAACAGCCTTCAGTTGAAGGACAACGGATCTATTTTGATTATGTGCAGGGGTGATTTTCAGTGTATTGAAAAGCAATGTGGTAGGGGTACTGACCAATCCAAAGTGATGGCATCTCTCTTGGTGTCTGCGTGTGAACAAGGAGGAGGCATTTGAAGCAAAGACATACACGTTGTGAATTGGAGCACAAGGTCATGAATGTTCTGCTGTGAAGCATAGTTTTTTCTTCTTCTTGAGCATAAATGTTGGCCTTGGGAGAGGGAAAATGGTGAGGGGAAGAGATGCCTGGATCCTGATGTGGGATGAGTTCCAACAGGGTAAAGCTGATAAAAAAAAAAAAACCAAATGCAGAAAAGACATAGGTCACGTTACTGCTGGGCTGTAGATTCTCTAGTCAGGGTGGGAGGGCTAACAGGTGAAGAACAGACACAATCTCTAAGGAATCTGCTCACTGTGATTTAGGGTTCAGATATGCTCCCTGAAAGTATGTTTCACTCTTCTAGTTTAAAGGAAAATATCATGACATAGGTTCAGAATGAGAGTAAGAAAAATAGAAGGAAATGGACATGCTCAGTGTTTTTGTGAATGACAAACATCTAGTGATGATGTTTCCATTGTTACTCTTTATCAAAGGATCAACACACAGGCATTCCCTAGTGTGTAAATCAGAAAACCTGCCCTTTTAGGAGCTTGACATTTTAATATATAAAGAGTTCATAGGAGCCGGATGTGGTGGCACAGGCCTGTAATCCCAGTAACTTGGTAGGCTGAGGTAGGAGGATCTCAAGTTAGAGAACAGCCTTGGAAACTTAATAAAACCTGTCTCAAAATAAAAAATAAAAAGTTCAGTGGTAGAGCACCCCTGGGTTCAATCCTCACAACCAGGGATGGGCCGGGGGAGTTCACAGACTCAACCTCAGAATTAACTATTAATAATAGAAATGCTAATCCACAGTGTCCAGATAGTTCCATTTAACAAGAAGAAGTTTTAATTTACATAATAGTGCCATGCAATTCCATAATGATTCCAAATAATATATTTGGAATGATAAAAAATTAAATTACTACTTTTAACCTCTCATGGGATAATTGCTTCAAATACAGCTCATTAACAGGTGCTCAAACGACTGGTTAAAAGAGGATGGGAACTGGGTATTCACATGGACCCAAAGTCTCATATGTAGAATCCTTAAGTCTTTCCAGGAGAAGATGCCTCCTTCATCAGGGAGAGCCTCACCGTCACCAGATGACATCGGTTACTAGAACCTCCGTCACTAACAGAGTAACATGCACTTGTGAATAAACGCATCACTAAAAAATATGCTTGCCAAAAATGTTTACCCTGAATCTAACTAAGCTTGTATATCTGACTTCCCTCTTAGAGGACAGTGACAGAGGAATCATTTACAGGACACCATGAGGAAAATACCAGACAAAACCAGAATGTGAGACCTACTACAATTAGCCTGATCTTTTTAAAAAGAGACCAGGGCAAAGAGACTGGTTTAGAGTTAAAGAGATTTAAAAGACATAACCATAAGCAGTACATGTTCTTTGGATTTAGGTTGGAGAAACTATAAAAGATATTTCTGGAATGACTGGAGAAATCTGAATATGGACTGAGCAATAGACACATTATGGAATCAGTGTCAATTTTGCCGGATGTTAACTATGTACCTATGTGAGAAAATGTCCTTTTTCTGAGAAATGCATCCTAAATAATTTTGGGATGGTATTTCTTGATGTAATTTACTTTGAAATAATTTATCAAGAATACACAGGTAAATATATGAAGCAGATATGCCAAAATGTAAACTGTTGTGGAATCAAGATGGTGGGTATATAGATATTCCTTGTTTTACTTTACTTTTTTATTTTCTTGTAAATCTCATATTAAGAAGTTAGGGAAATGATTTGAAAATGCAAAATTACATAAACCTGGCCCCACAGAAGCAGGAGTGAGAATCTCAAAGGGCCATGTCGGCATTGGGCACCCAGGAAGGAGCATATTGGTGCTGAGTTCACCAGAGCACCGGGGTGAGATGGCTGTTCACTCCAGAATGGGTGAGACTTGGGGAAGAGTTACTGTACTTCCCAGAGTGCCCAAATTATTGTCAGAAACAATGTGCTCACTGGCAAGACCAGGTTTAATAATTCATGTTCCAACTGCAATTTAGTTGTTAGTTGCCCTACACTGTCACCTAAAATTACCTCCTTTACATGGGAAGTTTTAAAATTTCTACCTTTGTTCCTCCTTCCCTCCTTCCCCATTTCCCTCTTTCTTTTTTATTTTTCTTTCTTTCTACTTCCTTTATTTATCTGTATCTCATTTTTCTTCCTTCTCTTTTTTTTTCCTTCCTTTCACTGTTCTCTCTCCAAACACGATATAATTGTCCTATCCACTCAGGCACAGATGTAAAGTGACAGTTAAAATGCAAAATTGCTTCCTGCAGTGCTAAATTGTTCAGAAAATATGGTTGTCACAGCAGGGCCCAGTGAAACATGCCTATAATCCCAGTGGCTTGGGAGGCTGAGGCAGGAGGATGGCAAGTTCAAAGCCAGCCTCAGTAACTTAGTGATTCCCTGAGCAACTTAGTGAAACCCTAAACAATTTAGCAAGACCCTGACTCAAAATAAAAAATAAAAAAGGCCAGGGGTGTGGCTCGATGGTTAAGCACCCCAGGCTCAATCCCCAGTACCAAAAAGGAAAAAAATTAAAAAATCAATAAATAATAACAGCAAAAAGCAGAAATTATAGTTGTTGCTTAAGAAGTGTATTTGCCGCCCTGCCTAGTTCCTCTGTTTCTGTGGCAATTTCAGGGAGCTGGACTGTGCCATGCTACGTCGTCTGGAGAAGAGGATTTTGGTTGATCTCCCCAGCCGAGAGGCCAGGCAGGCTATGATCCACCACTGGCTGCCCCCAGTGAGCAAGAGCAGAGCCCTGGAGCTACGCACAGAGCTGGAGTACAGCAAGCTGAGCCAGGTGGGCAGCCCTTGTGTTGGTCGAGGGTCCAACACGTACATGACAGTCTAAGACAGGGTCACAGAAGGAGCTGCTTTCTTGAGACACTTAGAAAAGATCCAAACTGCCCCACAATGCAGTGGGCCTCTTCTTCATGGAAAAATCAGCTCCTTGTTACCTGGGAACATTCAAACAGAAGTAATTCAAGCTGGTGGAAATAGCATGACATTTGGACAGAGGTAATCTATGGTCAAATCCAGGCCCTGCTACTTATTAGCTGTGACCTCAGGGAAGTCACTTACTCTGGAACTTCAATGTCTCCGTCTGTAAAATGGTTAGCAGACAAGCCACAGAGGATGATTAAATGAGTCTTTCCAAACAGACAAGTTCTGGGTACATGTTGTTTTCCCCCCATTGTTAACCATTCTCAGTTTTGTAACCATGTTACCTGCTTTGGGTGGATATTTGAACATAATGTTCTCTGAGGTTCCTCAAAGGCAGGAATCATAAAATTTACAAGAACAAAAATGCCTACCAAATTTGACTATCCTTGGATTTGGGCCCAAGGGCCGTGTTAGATTAGCTTGGTGGCCCAGTCCTCTGCCAGCTCTTACAGTGTATTTGGATGGTGTTAGGAAGCTGTTGCCCAGCTGTTGAGGTTATCCAGACATCGTAGAAGCATCTTTTCCTCGAGCATTACCACCCAGGACTCTGTGTACAGTGTTTGCCCAGGGATGGTGGGTCCCGCCTGTCAGACCATAACTGCCACCCGCATTTTGCCTGCTGACAAATGTTTCAGGAGACTGAGGGTTACTCTGGCTCAGACATTAAGCTGGTCTGCAGGGAAGCAGCCATGAGGCCTGTGAGGAAGATCTTCAGTATACTTGAAAATCACCATTCAGGTATGACTGGGAAAACAGTGAAGGTGATCTGTCAGAGAAATGTCTGTTTAAAATTCCAACTCTCACCAGCAGATGGAGCCAGGTGCCTGTTTTTGGTGGCCTTCTCCACTTGTAGCAGGCTCTGGTGAAAGCATCCCCTGCACTCAACATCTCCTTGGGTGCCTAGTGTGGGGTCTGCTTTGCCCACTGATGATAAACTTCTTAGGCCTTGGGCTATTACTTCTCTGGCACACACTGATGTTGGAATGGAGCCACTTGAGGCACTGTATAAATATTAAATAATACTTTGATAGCAATACATTTAAGTCACTATTTGGGGGGGGGGGGGGATGTCTGGACTTTAGGAGCTAAGGTAGTTGCACATTAGAGACTTTCTTCCACTGTCCTATTTAGTCTTGCTGTACTGCATTAACCATTAAGAATGCTGCAGTATGCATGGTCTTGAAAGAAGGTCTACTAGCCTTTTCAAGAGCCTCAGTGCCATGAGGTTGACGGTTGTGCTGTTGCTATTGTCTTCATCTAGAGAGCACCCATTTTCCTGGGATCCAGTTGGAAACAGTGACCACTGCCGACTTTCTGGATGTGCTGGCTCATACCAAACCTTCAGCAAAGAACCTCACTCCGAGATACTTGGCTTGGCAAAGAGAGTTTGAGTCTGTTTGAAACCACACTTATCCTGACCTGGCCGCAGAGGTAACTGCAGAGGTCCTCTAGGTTATTAATACAAGTGGGAAAAGAACATCATGATTAGAACAGAAAAGGGAGATTATTCTTGAACACTGGATTAATTTGGACAACTGTTATTGTTTTGGAAATATGAGACATGTTCATTAATTTTTCATCATAGATGTCAGCAAAGTATTGAAGATTTCAATTACATGTATATGTGCTATTAGGTCAGGCAATGGAGACTTTTCTCACAATTAGACTCCATAAAATTTTGATGAACAATATCCTGTAGCATTGCTCGTTTTTGAACTGGGATCTTCATTTTGAAGAGAAAGATTTTCTAAGTATTCATTTTTATTTTTTTCTTGCAACACATTCCTAAGTCTGCCAGATACTCATCAGTATTCTTTTCTAAATGGCCAATCAGGTCAACTTTCAATTCGCTCATTACTCCCTTGGTCCCTGCTAGTCTTAGGGGAACTGCACCTTGGTAAGTAGATTTGCACCTAATCCCCATTTTCAGCCCTGTGTTCCATCCTGGCCTATAATCATGCCCATTGTCCCCAAGGCCTTAACTTGCATGGATCCATGTTTCTAGAGTATAATGGAAAACCTCCACACTGCTGCCTTGCCCAGGGGTGGGTGGTCATCTGGCTGCTCAGCAGGGAAGGGTTTCTGGGACTCCAACAAATACATTTATCAGCTTTTAGCCAATTCCTCACCTTTCAACCTGCTTTCAACCTCTCTTCCTTGCTATCTGTTGCCTCCAAGACGAGTCTTTGAGTTTGTTCCACTGGATACATTTTAGTTGTATTTTCTTTGTGCTGATTTTAATGATCAATACCCCGTCTACCTTCCATTATTCAAATTATCATCTTTTTATTCACAGACGTCTGACATTCTGTTGTTGGTTGATCTTGTGGGTTTATAACTTCTTTATTTATTTTCTCGTATTTTACTGGGGCTTTGAGAAAGACCAACTAATACATATTTATGTGTCATGTACTATAGAGTCTATCTAGTTATTTTTTGGAAAGTGGATTGAAAGTGTCTCAGCTACTTGTGAGGCGGAGGCAGGGAGATTTTGAGTTCAGGGCCAGGCTCAGCAACCTAGCAACATTCTGTCTCAACAAACAAATACACACACACACACACACACACACATATCTAAATTTATATAGGAAGTTGGCTGTTGGCGAAAAATGACTTTATCCGTGTGTGCTATTTTCTTCTAAAGCAAGAGGTCATGACTCAAACACCCACAGAAACAATGAACTTGATACCCAATGAGTAAAATAAGCTGAGTGTGGTTCTTCAAGACAGACGGGGGTCTGGAGAACTGGGGATGAAGGAGACTGTGAAGGGCACAGCAATGAATGATTCAACCTCAGATGAATGTGGGAATTTGGTCCAACATTGCCAGATCTTCTAATCTTCATAGAGAACCCAGTAATTGATTTGCACTTGAATCTCTTGATTCTCAAATGTCAACAACTAAGGTTGACCACCTGCCTGTACAACTCACATTCACTCCCACACTTCATTCCCATCAGAAAGAAGCCTTATCCGATGCACCTGGGATTATCTGGAATTACCAGATTATCCCACCCCTCCTTTTTATTGGTTTGAGTTGTCATCATATGAATCTCTCATTATAGTAGGTAGTTGTGTATTTGTGCATGTATTTTGTTGCCCATTTACCCTCCTCAAATATAAGCCTTGACTGTGGTACTTTCTGGGCTGCTATTGAATGAATGAACATTTTTTTTAAATGGCATAGGTCAAAGCTATCTGAGCAGCGTTTGCTTCACAGAATTTGTAACTTTTGTTCCATAGCACATTCCTTGCTGCACAGAACTCCTCATTTAGAGGACTTACACACACCATTTTGAACTTGTTAGAGCCCTTTGTGTATTGTCAGATGTATTTTTATATGCTTCAATTCCCCACCTAGAAGGTTGACATCGCAGAAGTCAGAGCAGCATTCCACTGTCTTCCTTATGCTTTACCCAGCAAGCATTTAATATAAATATGATTCTCTCAGCTACATCAGCCAGTGAAACAAACAGTTTAGATGCATATGACATGAAGGTGAGCATTGGAAAATGTAAGGTACTCAAACCGAGAGATAAGCAGTTTGTTATGATAAATGATTTCTGGTGCTCGGGTGCCTCATTACTGCTCCTTAAAGAGAGCAACATGCTTTCAGCTAGTAGGCCTTGGTGGCTGGTGTAATAAAGTCAGTAAAGGCCTTGTGCATTTATGCTGAAAAGGCCTTTGTGACTTAGACCAAGTAAGCGTGATAATGCAAACAAGGCCCTGTGTAAACAACTGCTAGTATGAAAAGGGTGTCTACCACTCAAGACAGAGCCTTTGGTGAAACAGATTAATGTATTTTAAAAATTCTTAACTAGCTGGATACGGTGGTGCATGCTTTGTAATTCCAGTGGCTTGGGAGGCTGAGGCAGGAAGATCTTGGGTTCAAAGCCAGCCTCAGCAACGGAGAGGTTCGAGGAAAGGGTGGAGCCTCCCGGTCCTCTGCCTCATGTGCTCTGCACACCAACTCACAGTGCATGCCCTACAGCCATCTCCTGACAGTGGGTATTCTCATCACTTTTCTAGAACCAAGGTGTCAGCCACTTGGTCCCTTTCCTGGCACAGGATAGGATTACAGTAAAAATTATACAGACACTGTCCTTGTGGTCAATACCACAAGAAGATCCTCTAATTGTGGGATGGGTGGAGAAGGAAACGCTATAGATGTTTTAATTACTTGTACTTCCTCTGTGAGGCTCAAGGTGGCCTATAACCAGCTAAGACTAACACTTGGAGTATTTGTAGCTATTTTGATCTAAGATGAGACTTTTATTTGTCTCCATGGACCTCTCTGAGGACAGGTCACTTAGCAAGCCCTAATGTTTGTTAAATAAATATCTCAAACATGGAGGAAAGGGCAGAAGCCGATTCTCTGGGCCGGGTATGTCTGCTCAGGTCTCACCTATGCCTGCGACTGTTTAACTTCCTGATCCATCATGAGGTCTTGTCTTAGCTCTAAGCTGTCTCCAGATATCAACTCCATTATTTCCAAATGTCAAATGCAGCCTCCCTGATATGCATCTTTAAGGCAGTAACTCTACATTGAAACATTCCATGCCCCCCCTCACAGCTATGCCTTCCAGCATTACATTCCTGTAGTATTTAGTTTTATTGGTTCAATAACTGAACGCCTGTGTTGCAGCAAGTATAGAAAATGACTCAGTCCTGTCTGGTGGGGAGAAGAGAAGTGTGAAGACACAAGGGCAATATAAGAAGTGCCACCTGGGGATGAAGGAGGCTGCACCTTGCTCCAGTCTGCGGGCAGGGAAGACATCAGAGACACAGGAGTTGTCTTCCTGGTGTTCCTGACTTATGCATTCTCCTTAGCTCCTGATTATAAAGGATCAAGGCAAAACCCTTCTTATATGCTTACTTCCCATAAAAATCAGGGATAGCACACCAGTAAACACATGGCAACTGGCAAACATTTGATAAACTCCTAGGCAAGGAATCCCTGACTCCAGCACACAAGTCAAAGTCAAAGCTGACTGTGGCCTGTCCACCAGGCAGTGCTTTCTACCTGCATGCTGGGCTTCTCCTGCTGCAACTCTGCCCTGAGACTGCCCAAGTGCAGCATCATATCTCCTTTAATCCTCAGGAAGACTCTCTCAGAGACAGCCCCTTACTGGCGGACAGTCCCTTCACCCGTTCAGCACCACTGCAGACACACAGCACTTAATCTGCCCCATTCCAGTCTAAATACTTAAATGTGTTTCAAGTATTTAATATTCGACAGCAACCCTGTGTGGTAGGCACTGCCATTATCCCCATTTTACGAATAAAGACAGGAGGCCTTCGAGGTAAGGTGACTTGCTCAAGATCAGAGGGCTTCGTGTATGCGGGTGGGACTCCAGAAGCTCTGCTCACAGCCACTCCACGCAGCCTGCTGACCTGGGGGCTTGGTCATTCCATGTCTGTCTTTTGCTTCTAGACATAAGTATTAAGTTGGGGCTTTTGCAAAAACAAGAAAAGTGCTCGCCCAACTATCATTTATTTAGCTTTGCTCCCTCCCATCCAAGACCGAGCTGATCTCTAAACAAGCATCAAAACCCGAAGCTCATTAACATCAGTGTGCACTTCAATAAGGTGAACACTACAATGATGTACAATTACATTCTAATAATTCAATGCCCAAGAGCCCTGTAAAACAATTGCAAAGGCCCAGGATTATCACAGTATGCAAATGCACTAGGAAAATCATTACCTACTTAGTCCCCTTCATTTGGGTGGGTTTAACATGAGAAGAATAATCCATGCTACAAGACGAGATTTCATTTTACAGCTGTAGTAACCAAGTACATAAAAGCTTGAATCTGTCCCAATAGCTTCTAAAAGATTTTTCCCATAGTGTCAGAGGCAAAAATAATGAAATCTTGCAAATGTACAGTTAATAGGACCCTGGTGGACACTAACTTCAAAAATGCATGGTCTATAAGACATTAAAGGCTTGATTTTAGTTTCTGCACTGTTCCTGTTAATAACAATGTCTAATTAAAACATCTGTAAAATACTGATAGTTTTAATTTTACATAAAATTTCCAAAACAACTGTTACACAGTATAATAGGTATCTGCAATGAATAGGTTATTAATGGAAATATTATTTTAAATTAAAATCAGGTTCTAAATTTAAATTAGTCATCTCTGGCTAATGAAGAGAAAGGAAGTCACCCGTGCTGGGAATTCAACAGAAAATCTAGTTTTCAACATCTGTTAAAGTAAATTCACTCGACAGTCTGAAGGACAATTCACTTTGCTGCCTCTGTCTTATACTCCACTTGGCTCTTCGGCTAGGTCTCACAGTTGAACTCAATTTCAAAACATGAGGCTAATGCACCTTTCAACGCATCACTTTATAATTTACAAACCACCATTCAACTTTATTCACAGTCTGAATCTCCCTCCCGATTTCCAGCAGGAGACAGCAGAGAACACCATTCCCCAATGGAGCTTCTCTCTCCCAGCCCTGCGAACCTGATGAATATTTTAGAGGGAATGGCATAAAATCTCAGCTTTTCTTTTCTTCGGGTCTCATCTTCTTTTACAAAATAAAACAAAAGAGATTAGCAAGGCTTAGTAGCTGGATGCAATTCAATACCTTTCTTTCTAATTAATGCACAATAAAAGAGGGTTAAAGCATAATCAGCTCTGAATGGTTCGTGGCTACTGATGCTGCACCAAGTTGGTAAGGGATCCATTCCAGACAATGAAAGCTGTGTGTCAAGTTGCTTCACATTCACAGGAGGGTTCACAGGAGATGCTGCAGAATGTGGTCCACGGCATGAGGGAAACTCTCACAAGTTAGGTAGGGAGGTGGACTAATTTTTTCTTCATCTGCTGCTCGGTATTTCCCTGAAATGAAGGAAAAGCCAGTGAACAGAGCTTACTGCTAGAATGCTAAATTAATCACGCCCCCTGAGCACCTGGCCAGCACAGGTCCACCCTTACATTTACTTAGTAAATTAGGGGATCCACATCCCCTAAAGCACCTTTTATTGAGGTTTCAGGATGCAAGGAGGCAGTTCAAAGAAATGTCACATTCAGTGTTATCACAGGTCCTCTGGTTGTTCACAAGGGACAATCACAGGTCACATGGTGGTTAAGATTCCCTTCAAATCACCGCTAATGAAATTACTTTCCTTCCCCACACCACCCCTTAAGATAGAAAGGATGATTAAATCAATGATTTTAAATAGAAGTTCATATCTGGGAGGGCAGAGACCTTGTAGGCTCTGAGGGTGACTGGAACGTGCTGCTGTCAATCTACCCTGGAAGCCTGGGGGTGGGGAAAGGAAAGTAATGGGTGCTCCCAGGGCAGTGCCAGGCAGGGTAGCAGGTAGGCATTAGGTGACAGGAACACTGCCAGACTCTCTTTGACTCTGGAATTCCAGGTAGCCTGCTGTTCCTGGGCCTGGCACACAACTCGACACCCCAACTCAGAGGAACCATTCCACTACAGTGGTTATGGAGAGCTTTCACACGTGAATCAGATGGTGCATGGTCCCTGTTTAAATACACTTCTCAGGCCCCAGTGCCCTTCAGAAAAGCTCTTCCCTGTTATTCTCTCTATCCTAGAACATTGTTCTTTGCCTCCACATTTATGGCAGCGTGCAACAATGCATTTACTTGTTTAATGTCTGCCTCGCATCTAAAGGACTGTAAGCTTCCTCAGAGCAGAGACTGTCTGGTGCCCCAGTAGATTCCCAGCACAAACATCAACACCAGCACGCCTTCCCTAAATATTTTTTAAAAGAATAAATGGAATGAATAAAAGGAAGGAGGGAGTAATGGGAAGAGGTGGGCAGGGAAAAGAGAAGTGGGGGGGGGGTTGCAGGAGGACCACAGGAAGGAGGCTACTTATCTGTACTTATATTTTTGCTCTCTCATTCCATTTTCTGTTATCTCTGCTATTTATTTGTCTGCTTTATTCAATTTTTTTTTTCTGCCTAAATCCAGCTGCCCCAACAACAGGCCCACCTTTTCTACAACTCCCTCTTTAGGAGGTGATATGGTTTGGATATGAGGTGTTCCCCAAAGCTCATGTTAGGCCATGCAGGAATGTTCAGAGGTGAAGGGGTTTGATCACGACAGCTGTAACCCCATCAGTGGAGCAGCGAATGGTGGACCTCGGGGTGCTCTCTGTAGGCCGGCTGGACCTGGCTGTAAGAAGCAGGTCACGATGGGGGTTGGGGGTGTCCTTGGCTCTGTCAGTGTGCACTCTCTTTCTCTTTCCTGGCTGCCAAGAGCTGAGCAGCTTTCCTCTGCCACTCCTTCCACCATGATGTTTTGCCTCACCTCAGGCCCACAGCAATGGAGCCGGACAACCATGGACTGAGTCTCTGTAACTGTGAGCCCAAAGTAAACGTTTCCTCTTCTAAATTCTTGTCAGATATTTTGGTCACAGTGATGAACAGTTGACTAAACAGAGGGCTTTACCTAGCAAACGCAAAGCCTGAAACCTCAACCCCACTTCCACGTCTTTGCACTGTGCTGGAGAAGATATGTACTATCCTATCCTACTGACTGATTTGTTACAGAGAAGAAATCAGCATCAGGGCTGGGGATGTGGCTCAAGCAGTAAGGCGCTCGCCTGGCATGCGTGGGGCACTGGGTTCGATCCTCAGCACCACATAAAATAAAGATGTTGTGTCCACCGAAAACTGAAAAATAAATATTAAAATATTCTCTCATTCTCTCTCCCTCTTAAAAAAAAAAAGAAATAAATCAGCATCAAATGTACATCTAGGTAATCTAGGTAATATACCTCACTTACCCCAGCACCCTCAAGTCACTTCTCCATAGCATGATCCATATGGAAAATTCTACTGGCAGTTTCCGTTTCCCCCACCCCCACCTCAAGCTTAAGTCCTTTAATTATAAGCTTCTCTTCAAGGTTTCTGCTTGGTTTCATAGGTATGTTAATAAATAACTTGCTGTATTACCTACTTCCAAGATCTATGGTGTAAGGGGCAAGTAAGTTTCTTAACTACAGAGTTAAGGGCTTCTAGAATGTTTCTGCTTGTCTGGCTTTGCCAGTGGGGTCTCTACAAAGTACAGATGATACAAGTGGCCCAAGCATATGTTCCAGTTCTGGCACCTCACACGGAGCCTGTACACAGCAGGTGCTCAATGTCAGCAAGAGGAATGAAGCAGCATCCCTGGCCTGACTTCACTGCAGCAGCCTGTGCCTCCGTGAGTGAATAAATGAACAGGGAGGACATAGGAAGCCATGCTGATGCTATAAGACAAAGGGCAAGCTCATTTCTTTCTACATGACTACTTTATATGTTAAACAGAGATGAATTCTGGTTAGGACAAGTCAAAACCCTTATTAAGATTTTAAATCTTTATTAAAAAATAACTAAAAAAATGTATATCATGTATCTACCATATGCTACCCATTGAAAAAAATTGCTCAAGACTATCCACAAATAGTACTTCCTACTGAATATGAATTAAAATATTTTAGTAGTTTTAAACACTGTGAAGCCCAGTGCTTGTCCATAGTACTGGGCTAAATTTTATCAATGGAGCTCACAGTTTTAGAACAGTGGGCTTACTCTGAATTTTTGTGACCAAAAACCCAATAGTACAAGAGGGTCTATTTCTATGAGATGGACTTAGCTGCTTTATTAGTTACACATTTTAGATTTGACCATTATGCTGTTAGCCTAAGACTAACTGGATGCTTTTCACACAGGCCACTCATGATACTGCACAGGTCCAGTGTTGATGGCTGGTATAAATCCTTAACTATGTGAGCTCAAGAAAGGAAATGTTTATGGGAATAATACCCACAAGCAAAAATAGTTATCTGAGGATCCCTTAATGGGATAAAACTGAAGGCAGAACAGTGAGAACAAAGACGCAGAGAAGATGATATGGTCTGTGTTTCCTGACTTGGTTAATGCTTCCTCTTGCTACTTACATCACAGGGCCATAACGTTCCCGGGTAGGTGACAATCATTTTGATGGAGAAATGTGAAAAGACATTGTGTTAATCCTGCAGTGACTGGTGTTACTATCGGTGGGCCCAGGATGGCCCACTCCAGAGCTCAGGCTCTAGCAGATGTGGGGTTTCCCTCTGTACCTCTTATTCAACTCTAGCTCCATCTAGATTTTTCCATTTTAATTTTAAAGTAACTTTTCTGCAATCACAATTTTCTTGAATTCAGGTCATAGTCACTTTCTCTAAAAGATTTCCCCATGATAAAACTTCTATGACTTTTATGTTTCAATTTTACCTTTTCTGAATAGTCTGTTAAGTAGTTTCACTACCATCACATGAAACTATGCAAATGAGCTCCCAGAGATGTGTACACAACTGTTTATCTGTTATTTGATTTACAAAAACCTGATGGCAATTCTTGGACAAGATTTCCCGTTATTATGTGCTATTAGTTTTGAATTCAGCAGGTGTCATTTGAGGGTGGGGTGGGAACCTTTCATTATCTTTTGAAAAACCCATTAAGTTTCCCCATGCAAAAATATTTGACCCTCTCACAGCTCCCATGACTGTTTCTTCTTTACCTTGAAGAGACTACAAGTAGACTACCTAAGGGATCCTCAACTAGGAGATTCAAGGCTCCAAAGGGAAAAGAGCCATGACCAGAGTTTTTCACACAGCAAATCAGCACAGAAATGAGACCAGAATACAGAACACTGAATCAGTCAAAATATCGTATTAGGGGGCTGGGGTTGTGGCTCAGCCGTAGAGCGCTCACCTAGATTGTGCGAGGCCCTGGGTTCGATCCTCAGTACCACATAAAAATAAATAAATAAATAAAATAAAGGTATTGTGTCCAACCACAACTAAAAAAAAAGTATTAAAAAAATATGTCATGTTAGGTGAATCCTCTCCAAGAAGGTCTTTCTTTTTTCTTAAAATTTGAGAGATCATATAAAGTAAACCTAATTTTAGTGTAGGAAATACTTCCTAAGCTTTTGGTCACCAAAAACAGTAAATGAAAATAAAGAAGTTTTTTATGTGTGTGCTGGTATGTATATATTTTCACACCACCTTCCCCCAACTCTATTCAACTCTAGCCTGTACTGAGGATTAAAATCGGGAGCAGGCCACTTTTTTTCTGTTATTGTATTCTTTCTTTTTTTCTTTTTGAGACAGTCTAAGTTGCTGAGGCAGGCCTTGAACTTACGATCTTCCTGCCTCAGCCTCCTTAGTTGTTGAGACTACAGGTGTGTGTCATGCCCACCCAGCTGGTATATATTTTTTAAAATGCAAATGTGAACATAGAGGATCAGAGCACACAGATGACCAGTTCTTAAAAAAATCAACTTTATCATCAGATAGCTGGCATAAAACAAATGTTTTCTCAGAGCACCACAATTCATGGTCCTTGCTCCATTCCGACATGGTGAACAGGGCAGGTACTACCAGGCCTCGAGCCCTGATCTTCCCACCTTTTTGCAGCATGTTCCCCCCACCCCCATGGTCTTTTTCCCTTTAATCCTAAACCTATTTCATTTTTCTTCATGTAGAAAGAAAATTAAAGCCCAGAGTTCTACCATTTCGACAAAGCTATTCTTTGGGCAACTGTGAACTCTACCACCCTGTTTTTGGAAAGGCATTTGGAAAGGTATACAGAAGATACCTACCAGTTTTTACTAAAATGCCCAGCATGCCAGCATTTTGAGCCCCGCCAACATCATCCCTGCAATCCTGGAAAAACAGAAAAAGGCACTTAGTCCAGAGTCTTTTGTTGCTTGCCAACACACTCTGCCAACAATTAATTAGGATGGGATCGCCACTTGGAATCCCCTGCTTTTTATTTTCAAAATGAAAGAGGAGAAGGTGAAAAGGGGTGACTCCACATGAAATACTCTGAGGAGGAGAACCATATTTGGAGAAGAAAGCGCTGCTGAGGTGGAAAGCGAACACTAGCGTAAGGAATTCCAGTAACTGAACACGGACAACAGTGAAGAGTCTATGCCTTGCCACAAGTATATCTATCTCTTCTTAAAACAGATCACTGGGGAAAAAAGCATTCTATGCATTTGACAGCTTGTACAGTGAATAACTCAGCTGTAAACAGTGAATGAACTCGATTTAGAAGATCACTTTTTAGTGGCCCACGTAATATATTACTCTTAATTTCCATCCAATTGTCTATAATAGGTAGGATCAAATCAAAGCAGTATACTTAATCAGACTGTAACTCTTTATGTTTACTTCACTAAATTTGGGAATCACACATCAATCTGTAAAGGGAGCTCCCCTGTCCATTCTTATTCAAGACAGGGATAAACACACTTGCACAGTGGTGTGCATCTTTACTCCCAGCACATGGAAGTGAGGCAGGAAGATCACATTTGAGCCTAGGAGTCTGAGGCCAACCTGGGCAACATAGTTAGACCTTTTCCAACAAAATGAAACAAAACTAACAAAATAGTAAGAAACCCACCAAAACAGAATATAAAACAAAATAAATAAATACTTGGTTGAATGTAACAATGAAAGCAAGGCAATTAAAATTCCAAGGCCTGGTCAAGTAATCAGTCCTAAGAAGAAAAAATAAAAAAGAAAATCAGTCCTGCTATCTCATATGTACAAGCAGGATTCATTCAGATTATGCCTAAAGAAGATTTTTTTCCCACAAAAATCTTTAAGTTTGTTCAACAATGACCCTTAGAAATTAGCTTCAGAATGTCAAATTCTTTGTTTAAGGTCTTACTTAAAACCTTTTTCCGTTATAGTCAAATTTGCCCATTGAAGAAATGGGGATGGGGAGAGGAGGAAGGGAAATGGGAAAAAGAAAATAAGAAGGAAGCTGGGCATGGTGGCACACACCTGTAATCCCAGCAGCTGGGGAGGTTGAGGCTGGAGGATCACTACTTAAGAAAAGTCTTTAGTTATATTTTGTTCTCTGCATAATGCTCAAAATACTTTAGGTTTTATAGGAATTTTCTTCAGAAAAAAATGTAAAGCATTTAACTGACTTGCAATATAAACATTTTTTAAAATTATACATGCCCTCACACTTTGGAGAACTGTCAGAAACAATCAAAATTTCAAATGCTTACAAGAATACTGTCAAACATCTACAGGAAAGCTTGCTTCTGACTATTTTTCTCTTGAGTAACAAAAAGTCCACTTCCCTAAAGCAGTGCTTCAAAGCCAGCCGTCCTAGCAAAGAGGTGAGTGCAGGGCATCTCCTGCACTCTTCTACTTACATCTCCTATCATGACGGCCTCTTCAGGTTCACAGCCAGTGCCCCGCAATGCTTCCAAAAAGAACGTCTTTTCTGGTTTCCCCACTACTATGGCGCTGGTGTCAGTGGCATACTCTAAAGCAGTCACAAAGGGTCCAGGCCCCAGGGCTAAGCCATCTTTTCTCTTGTAATACCTGGCTTTGTGGATCGATATCAGAGGCGCTCCATCCAGGAGTAACCTAGAGAGACCAAAAAAACAAAAACTGGCTAAAAGCAAGGCTTTTATAACTGGAAAAGAATGTCAGACTGGCAAAGTGGTTTTACTCACACTCACAGAAACAAATAGTTTCTTATTAACTTTTAATGACTTGCTGTCTTCTAATGAATTCACGAAGAACTGCTGGGAATTACATTCAGATACACTAAAGAAAGGTGATAGATTATTAAATTTGGGATTGCTTCAACCTTTTACCTTTCATGGTTTCAGACACTTTACCCAAATCACCAGGGAAAGAGAATTAAGAGAACTAAAGCTAAATAAGGCACTCTAGGGAAGAGGCTTAACTTAATGAGACGTGTTGTTTCAGCCTTCCCTAATGGTAAGCAGGAGGCTCCTGAGCCTAAAAACGCTGCTAGACTGTTGCTGCGGCAACTTAGGAAGTGCACTTCAGAAATACTGAATTCCTGTTTCCTCGCCTCCAAAATGTAAGTTTCTTTTTACTTCAGAAATTTAACTTTTTTTTTTTTAACCGAGTTTCTGCATGTAATTTCACCCCTTCATTCTACCTAACTGCTTTCGATGGTGTTTGCAAATAAGGCCATCTTCCCAAAGCACACACTGACAAGGTTTAAGGGGACAGCCTGCGGTCAAGTCCCTTCCTTGATTCCAATAGAGGACAAAAAACTGTCATACCAAACAAAGGTGTAGTTTTCCTGTCAGTTTGATAACAAAACTCTACATATAGCTAAGGATCTTCCTTCGTGACTCAGGTAAAATACAACAAAACAAATCTCTGTGAACTTAACACTCACCTCTCACCCCTAGATCTGCCACCCACCCCAGCAATGTCACCTTCAGTCATCCAGAAGTAGTCATGCACAAATAATTATCTAACGGAATACAGGACATGATATATTTCTCAAACTGCTCTTAACCAACGGAATAAATGACCTCACTAGCTTAATTTACTTTAAGTCATCTACTTAGTTAAAATATTTAGTATGTCCATGGAGGAAGAATTCATCACATCTTACCCTTCACAATTATGAGTAATTAAGCGCTCAACTATGAAACTGCTGAATTATTCTTGTCAGTGGGCATGGAAATAACTTCCTGTGGGAGATGCAGAATTCAGACATTTGTGATTAAATATTTTATTAAGTAAAAACCAATACTGGACTATTACAAGGACTTACTGTTAGTTACTACAAATTGCTCACAGCACAGATCCTTCAAATTTGTTCACTAATATTAATACAAATTTATTTCTGAAAGCAGACCTTGAAATCCAGCATTAAGAAATCTGCAAAGCCTCCCCTTTGGCCTTAACCACAGCTGATAGCAATGAGTTAGCAATGGGTGATTCATCCATCCCCCTCTTTCACCCCACCCCAATCCCATTTATTTGCTTCTCTACCACGGAACTGGAATTCTTTATGCAACAGACCTCAAAATTGCTTTCCACTTATATAGCTAAACTAAAAACTCATTTGATTTAGCTTTGTTAATATTTTATTATATATTAACTGGGGATAAGACTTATCAGCCTGATTGATGTGTGTACTTAATTCCAAGGCAGCACTTCTGTGTTTTCCCTGGAAGGGCTGGAACAGTGCGTTCCTAAGTGGGAACTGGTTCTGCATTAGTCCAGAGAACAGCATCTCTCAGGGCAATGGTTCCTGCCTTAACTGTTCTCTGCACAGCATAAACTTCTCTGGATCTTGGAAGAGCTGAGGCATATTTAGGATGAACTAAAAGGGAAACATTTCATAGGGCACAGATTAAAAAATCTTTCACAGTTAAATATTTAAAAAAATATTAGAAATAGACACCCCAATACTTGGTAGTGGTTTTATATACTAAACAGGCAACAAATGGTTGGTTTTGTTACCAGAAGTAACACATCAGCAGGAAATCTATAAGCCTGTTGAGGTATAAAGAAGCAAAGGAAAAATGCAAAAAGAGGTCTGACAACCAAATCTCTGGCTATAAATTCCAGGTAAGTTAAAAATTCCTAGCCAGGGAACAGGACCACAATTGCAATGAGAGAAAAAGCCATGGGGATAATTTAAATTCAGAGCCACAAAACATTATTGCAAGGAACCTTAAGGCACATTAAGGCCAACATGCCCCGTTTCACAGATGAAGAAACCATCCAGAGACGCTGGCTGAGCTCAGTGGTACCAACCAGGGAGCTCTAGAGCCAGTGCTATAACCCGGAACTTAAGAAAACCAGTGGAGTCCTCTTCCACATACAGTCCATTATCTTTCTAAATAACTTAACCTCTCGAGGGAAGTGATCAACTTGCCACCATTTCTGCTGAAGGTGGAGCATGTAGAAATGAAATCACCCTGTAGCTTAAGTCACCATCAGACACCTCTTATCTGTTCAATATCAAACTAACGGGTCTCTCTCCCCCTACTCTCCCAAAGTGTTCCTCCCCCAATCTTTTCCATCCCAATAAATTTATCCAGAAACCTAGTAGTTATCCTTGATTTCTCACTTTCCCTCACCATCCCCACATCTCTGTTAATCATCAAATCCATTTCAAAACAAAATTTAAATGTTTCAAATCTGTTTTACTCTCCAACCTGAACTGCTGCTATAGACTCCCAATAATAGGACATTATTCTTGTCCTATTATTCCAGTTTACTGTACAGGCAATAGCAGGAGTTTTAAAAAGCACAGATGGGACCATGTTGCTCCCCTGCTTAAAATCCTTCAATAACTTCTCATTGCAAACAGCATAAAATTCAAAGTCCTTTGCATGGCTTGTGGGGCTTGCACTATCTTCCTGCACCTACTATGTCCACATCTCCAAGCTCAAGTAACTTTCCCTACTGCAGACTGCATTCCAATCACAGCTGCCTGCTCTTATTTCCTAAAAAAAGATCAAACTGTTTCCTGCTTCAACCCCCATGGTGGTCCCTCCACCTGAATGGCCCTATACTTTTCACATAACTTTCTTCTATTCATTTGACAGGTCTCAGCTAAATCTCAGTACAACAAAGAAGCCATTTCCAGTCTCCCTATTTAAATAAAGTGGACTTCTTCCTCACATTTCATTTCTATTTCATCCCTCCCTTTTTTCCCTTCATATCACTTGTCATAATTTTCAATCCTTTCCAACTGTCTGGTCAGTCTTCTTCACTAGAATATAATCTCCACAATGCAGTCACTGCATTTGACTTAAAAAAAAAAAAAAAAAGGCCTAGCACTGCTCACAAAATGATTATTGAATAAATTAGTTAACAGATGAACCTTTGTATGCCCCAGTACCCTGCCTAAAACACAGGGAATAATATATACTGTCCTGGGAGCTAACAGGGACAATGGATGGAAGCAGACCTTCTCACAGTATGTTTCTCACAATAATGACAACTATTTGTAAATGTGGGATATACAGTCCCTACACTATTTAAAATAGGTAACAGCAATTCACTTCATATTTGTGGGCCTCAGTTTCAAATGAAGGGGTTGAACTACATCAGGGCTTTTCAGTATCAGTTCTATTAACATTTGGGGCTAGAAAATGATGTTTCATAAATCACCTTGACCTTTATCCACCAGATGCCAGTAGTACCCTTCGTCAGTTAGGATAACCAAGCGTCTCCAGGCATTGCCAAATGTTTCCTAGGAGGAAAAATTGTCCCCCACTGAGAATCACTGAATAAGAACTGCCAAAGTATTAACATTCAAGTATTTTTTTTTTTTTTTATCAAAAATACAAACACAAGGGCTGGGACTGTAGCTCAGTGTTAGAGGACTTGCCATGTACGTGTGAGGCACTGAGTTCGATCCTAGCACCACATAAAAATAAATAAATAAAGATATTTTGCCCACTTACAACTAAAAAAAAATTAAATACAAACACAAATGACAAAAGTTTAAATTAAAACAATAGTGAATCATAAAAAGCATCAAAGGAAAACTCTATTAATATTTAATTGAAACCCCCAGAATACCTCTAATATCACACTGATGCTGTCATTCTTTCATTAATTACTGAAAAAATACACTGAGTTTTTAGGGACTCTATGATCCCTATGAAATAGAAATCTTCTGAGAATACTATATATTGAGAGAAGTGATGAAATGACAAAACAGAAGATCTAAGACAAGTTTAACACTGCTATTTCTGGTTAGGATCAAAAGTGAAAAGCAAATATATTCACATAGCTTAGTGAGCTGGTACAAAATATTAAAAGTGGTAAAATATTAAAGTTTTATCCTTGAATTCAGAAATAAGATAAGGCTACTTCCTATCATCACTTCTATTTAACACTATAGTAGAGATCCTGACAGTACAATAAAGCAAGAAAAAGAAAAATATAAGAAGTGGAAAGAGAAATGTAAAACTGTAATTATTAATAGAAAGCCCAATTGTCTATGTAGAAAATGCAATCTCAAAGATTCTACAAATAAGTCACTGGAATCACCAAGGAAATGTAAGAAGGTTGCTGAATACAAGGTTAATATACAAAATCCCAATGAAATTTCTACATATTAACAAAAATGAAAATAAAATTTAGTGAAATACTACTTACGATGGCACCAAACAACATGAAATACAAGGAATAATTTAATAAAATATGTCTAAGACCCATACTTTGAAAAATACAAAACACTGATGAGATAATGTAAAAAAAGAAAAAAAAATAAATGGAAAGACATTATGTTCAGATGCAGATTCTACCATATCCACAGATTCAATAAAGTATCAATCAAACTCCCAGTAAGCTTTTTTTTTTTTTTTAAATGTTGGATGGATATCAACAAGTTGCTTCCAAAATTTATACGGAAATGCAAAGCATGTGGAACAGTCAAGATAATCTTAAAGAAAAATAAAGTTGAAGGATGTACCCTGTCAGCTATTAAGAATTATTGTAAAGCTATAGTAATCAAGATACTGGGAACAAAGCCACATATATAGTATATGGTTACTTAATTTATGTCAGAAGGACAACTACAATTCAGTGGGAGGTAAAGAATGGATCTTTTTTTTCCCACTATTTTA